TTTTTGCTTCTTCATTTGAATAAAACTCTGTAAAAAACTGTTCATAATCAATATTTTCCATATTGGTATCATCATTTTTATGAAAATCCGAAAAGAATTGATCATAATCGATATTCTCATCCTCGTTGACATCGATATCATCGCCATGACCATGGAAAACATCATCGAATCGATCAATTTCGCCTTCAATCTAAAATACAAAGGTTTTGGCTTCGTGCCAAAAGAAAAATGGGGAATTTTCAATTTACCTTCTTCTTGGGATCAGACATTTATGATCTGTTCAAGAATGAATTAGAATTGCATAAGAGTTATATTCATCTAAAAAGGAAAAGAATTTAGACAAGAAAAGTAAAAGACTTACAATGATATCATTGATTTAATATTATGCCAAGTAGTTCCATGTTGTTCGGAGATGAATTCGGATCGTAGAATCGATCAGTTTTATATCTAAAAGAACAAGAAGTGATAAATAAATTGTATAATTAATAGGAATAGTAAGTGAAATTGGATATGATGAAATTAAAAAAAAGATGATAAACATGCACAAATAGATATCAGTCCAATCAAAAGTATTTTCCATGAAATCATCATTATTCGGTCAGATAACCAGTATTGTACCGAAGGAAATCATCCGAAATTGATGAATGTAACGGTTGCTGTTGTTTATTTCGAGGAGGTAATTCTATCGCTATTGTTGTTGATGGTTCAGTTGTTTTTTGTTGAACACGTTGAACTACCGGTTTAAATAAACATTGTAAAACTTTATCACATGGTGCAAAACCAGCCCGACATATTAGAAAGTACATGAGAAAACCAATGAGTAAACAAACAAAAACTAAATCAACCAAATCACGCCAACTTGTAAGTATTGGTCCAGTTTTCGAATGATATGTACTAATGGCATCATCAACAAATGTCGCATTAATCGAATTATTTATCAGATAATTAATCATAACACGGTGATCATTAATGGTTGTTTGTATGGCATGTACATCAAAATTACCGTTATTGACATCTCGTCTTTGAATACCATTGGTGAGATGTTGTGGTTCAGTAATAAAACATGGTTGTTGTTTCAATAATTCCATAACCTCTTTTAATGTCATAAAACGTTGCTGACATAAGTCAATTTGATTGGTATTATTATTCTTAATCGATAGTCCATTTGTGGAATAAAAAATAACTGATCCAAAAATTGACAGGCGAAGCACGATGTTGATGACCATTATGTTCATTTTTCTCTTGTTTTTAATTGACTGATATATATATATATATCTAAAAACATAAGATAAAAATTAAACAGATCGATAGATAGATGAATAAAGATACTTGTTGAAATTACATTAGAAAAAAACGGAAGAAGAAGAAGTACTACTCCTCATGATTATTACAAACGGATAAATACTTTTCAAACATGCAACTATAGATGTGTTCTCATTGATTGCTCACTGACATTCCAGAGGATAATGTTGTAATAGGAGGCGTAGGACGATAACGAAGATCTGCACACCATATCTTATGATTGATAGGAACACTTCTAAAATATGTGAAAATATGTCCCAATGTATTTAGTTTGGTTTCAGCATGTGTAACCAACAGTGAATGAACGATTCGACGAAATAAGTCTGATGTATTGAGTGGTAAGACAGTAATAATCGTTGCACTGTAAACGATAAAATTATAGTTGACTTCCTTTCGATAAAGTTTCATTGTAAAGAAAGCATGCTGTTTTTTTATTTGATAGTTCGAAAATTTGTATCCTAATGGTGGTTTTGGCACATTGCCAACACATGCTTGTACTTCTTGGGTTGTTGTTGCTGTTGCTAATACTGATGATTGTTGATAATGAATATTTTCATAATTTGCTTCTTCATTTAGCATTGGTACGAATGTCCAGAAATCTGGATTTTTATCTAAAAATCGTTGCATGGCACTTGGACAGCCCGTGGAATGTTGGTAAAGACGCATACGTTCTTTTTCATTCATTTGTGGCGATTTAGCTCCATAGAAATGTATATAATTCTTTTCTCCAATCACTTTTTCCAATAACAGTCGATGTGTGAAACATTTATGGGATAGTAAACGTGTTCGTAAATTATCACTTGTTTCACCAATATAATCATAACTACCACATGGACATGTAAGTACATAAATAATATTGTTTGTGTCACATGACACTGGGCAATTCAAAATCGATTCGTAGCCATTCACAAAACGATGTCTTCGGCGCATGTTAAATTGTACTGGACATGATTGTTGTTGTTGTTCTTGTTCGTGTTGATAATTCACATTTCCATTAGATGATTGGCAAAGTATACATTTATTACAACGTTCCATGGAGTAATGACAATCTGGCACAGTCAAACAGAATAGGCCTTCCTCTTTGAAACGTGGTTGTGCACTACGAAATGAACATGTTTTCATATAAAACAGGTCAACATCAATCTGTAGATAAAATTCTAATAATTGAGCAAATTCATTTTCTTGTAAATTAAAATGATACTTCATAGAATTCTGTTGACCGAGTGTTCGAATATATGCTTGACGATGTAATTCAATAAATCGTTTTAAATGTATATAGTTACAATCCAAAATAGATAGATCAACGTGTAATCGATCGAGTAATGGCATAAAAAACTTTCGATATTGTTGAACGACATAAGATATCGAAGAGGCATTACAATCTAGGATAGAAAATGAAGCTTTATATCTACCGGTTCGACGATTTCGCAATTCTTGTTGAGACAAATGATTGATTGGTACATTGGCTAGCAAAAGTAGAATTGATTCAGTATTCTTGTTCGTGTTCGGATATGTTGGTAAAATTGACAGACGTTCTTGATTATTCAAACTTATTGTATATGGTAAATAATTTGGTTGACTAAGCCCAACGGGAGATACCATAGGAGAAACTGAAGTATTCATTTCAATAATATTTTCTTCCTCTTCCTCTTCCTCTTCCTCTTCTTCTTCTTGTTGTTCTTGTTTCATTTCTTCTCGTGGAAATGATCGCTGTGATGATGATGTTGATGATGATGATAATGATTGCATTTGAGTTGTTGCTGGTAGTAGTGGCAAGATAACCATTTGATATTGATTTTCCAATCCCATTGGTGTTGAATACTGTGTTTGTGTGTTTTTATCAACTCCATTATCATCACTCTCATCATCAGACAATAAGATGACCGAAGGAGCACGATGAAATTTAATGCGAGTATTATTCTTATTCGTCATCTACAACTATAAAAGAAAACATAGCAACGAAGTAATTTGGTAAACATGCAAAAAGAAAAGATTGAATTGGTTTATGACGTTTTCTTTTATCAAGAAAATAATNAGAAAAATGGGAAATTTTCAATTTACCTTCTTCTTGGGATCAGACATTGATGATCTGTTCAATAATGAATTAGAATTGCATAAGAGTTATATTTATCTAGAAAGGAAAAGAATTTAGACAAGAAAAGTAAAAGACTTACAATGATATCATTGATTTGATATTATGCCAAGTAGTACCGTGTTGTTCGGAGATGAATTCGGATCGTAGAATGGATCAATTTTATATCTAAAAGAACAAGAAGTGATAAATAAATTGTATAAATAATAGGAATAGTAAGTGAAATTGGATATGATGAAATAAAAAAAAAAGATGATAAACATGCACACAAATAGACATCAGTCTAATCAAAAGTATTTTCCATGAAATCATCATTATTCGGTCAGATAACCAGTATTGTACCGAAGGAAATCATCCGAAATTGATGAATGTAACGGTTGCTGTTGTTTATTTCGAAGAGGTAATTCGACCGCTATTGTTGTTGATGGTTCGGTTGTTTTTTGCTGTTGTTGTTGTTGAACACGTTGAACTACTGGCTTAAATAAACATTGTAAAACTTTATCACATGGTGCAAAACCAGCCCGACATATTAGAAAATACATGAGAAAACCAATGAGTAAACAAACAAAAACTAAATCAACCAAATCACGCCAACTTGTAAGTATTGGTCCAGTTTTCGAATGATATGTACTAATGGCGTCAGCAACAAATGTTGCATTAATCGAATTATTTATCAAATAATTGATCATAACACGATGATCATTAATGGTTGTTTGTATAGCATGTACATCAAAATTACCGTTATTGACATCTCGTCTTTGAATACCATTGATGAGATGTTGTTGTTGTTGTTGTTGTGGTTCGGTAATAAAACATGGTTGTTGTTTCAATAATTCCATAACCTCAGTTAATGTCATAAAACGTTGCTGACATAAGTCAATTTGATTGGTTTTATTATTCTTAATCGATAGTGCATTTGTGGAATAAAAAATAACTGATCCAAAAATTGACAGGCGAAGCACGATGTTGATGACCATTCTGTTCAGTTTTTCTCTTGTTTTTAATTGACTGATATATATATATATATCTAAAAACATAAGATAAAAATTAAACAGATCGATAGATAGATGAATAAAGATACTTGTTGAAATTACATTAAAAAAACGGAAGAAGAAGAAGTACTACTCCTCATGATTATTACAAACGGATAAATACTTTCCAAACATGCAACTATAGATGTGTTCTCATTGATTGCTCACAGACATTCCGGAGGATAATGTTGTGATAGGAGGCGTAGGCCGATAACGAAGATCTGCACACCATATCTTATGATTGATTGGAACACTTCTAAAATATGTGAAAATATGTCCCAATGTGTTTAGTTTTGTTTCAGCATGTGTAACCAACAGTGAATGAACGATTCGACGAAATAAGTCTGATGTATTGAGTGGTAAGACAGTAATAATCGTTGCATTGTAAACGATAAAATTATAGTTGACTTCCTTTCGATAAAGTTTCATGGTGAAGAAATCATACTGTTTTTTTATTTGATAATTCGAAAATTTATATCCTAATGGTGGTTTTGGCACATTGCCAACATATGCTTGTACTTCTTGGGTTGTTGTTGCTGTTGCTAATACTGATGATTGTTGATAATGAATATTTTCATAATTTGCTTCTTCATTTAGCATTGGCACGAATGTCCATAAATCTGGATTCTTATCTAAAAATCGTTGCATGGCACTTGAACAGCCCATGGAATGTTGGTAAAGACGCATACGTTCTTTTTCATTCATTTGCGGCGATTTAGTTCCATAGAAATGTATATAATTCTTTTCTCCAATTACTTTTTCCAATAACAGTCGATGTGTGAAACATTTATGGGATAGTAAACGTGTTCGTAAATTATCACTTGTTTCACCAATATAATCATAACTACCACATGGACATGTAAGTACATAAATAATATTGTTTGTGTCACATGACACTGGGCAATTCAAAATGGATTCATAACCATTCACAAAACGATGTCTTCGGCGCATGTTGAATTGTATTGGACATGATTGTTGTTGTTGTTCTTGTTCGTGTTGATAATTGACATTTCCGGCAGATGATTGGCAAAGTATACATTTATTACAACGCTCCATGGTGTAATGACAATCTGGCACATTTGAACAGAATAGACCTTCCTCTTTGGAACGTGGTTGTGCACTACGAAATGAACATGTTTTCATATAAAACAGATCAACATCAATCTGTAAATAGAATTCTAATAATTGAGCAAATTCATTTTCTTGTAAATTGAAATGATACTTCATAGAATTCTGATGACCGAGTGTTCGAATATATGCTTGACGATGTAATTCAATAAATCGTTTTAAATGTATATAATTACAATCCAAAATGGATAGATCAACATGTAATCGATCGAGTAATGGCATATAAAACTTTTTGTATTGTTGAACGATATAAGATATCGAAGAGGCATCACAATCTAGGATAGAAAATGAAGCTTTATATCTGCCTGTTCGACGATTTCGCAATTCTTGTTGAGACAAATGATTGATTGGTACATTGGCCAACAAAAGTAGAATTGATTCAGTATTCTTGTTCGTGTTCGTGTTCGGATATGTTGGTAAGATTGACAGACGTTCTTGATTATTCAAACTTATTGTATATGGTAAATAATTTGGTTGACTAAGTCCAACGGGAGATACCATAGGAGAAACTGAAGTATTCATTTCAATAATATTTTCTTCCTCTTCTTCTTCTTCTTCTTCTTGTTCTTGTTTCTTCTCTCCTCGTGAAAATGATCGTTGTGATGATGATAATGATTGCATTTGAGTTGTTGTTGGTCGTGGTGACAGGATAACCATTTGATACTGATTTTCCAATTCCATTGGCGTTGAATACTGTGTTTGTGTGTTTTTATCAACTCCATTATCATCACTCTCATCATCAGACAATAAGATGACCGAAGGAGCACGATGAAATTTAATGCGAGTATTATTCTTATTCGTCATCTACAACAATAAAAAAAAACACAACAACTAAGTAATTTGGCAAACATGCAAAAAAAGATTGAATTAGTCTATGACGTTTTCTTTTATCAATAAAATAATGTTNGGATAAACGATTGAGAAAGAAAACTTCATAATCATTGACAGGAGTAAATGGAGGCAAACAACTTAGTTTTTGATTACGTAAATATTTATTTAGATTTCTACGACTTAATGACACTAAAGCACAGGAGAAAATGATTTTAGTGAACAAATGCAATGATAATTTACTTTAATTTATTGTTTTTGATTGAATTAGTGTAGAGTGCGAACAATGTTTGTGTATTACCCTAGAATATAAAAAGAAAATATTAATTCACAGTTTCAGAAATTCCATATAGATGAAATGGTTCACGTCCTGGATTAATTCGATGGCTTGATCTGTTTGGTTTGATGAATGATTTCATGATGAGAACATAGTTGATATATATAGGACTCGGATCGAATGAAGGTTGAATAACAAATATGTTATAAGAATTTTAGTGGGCGAAGGTCTGTTTTAAAACTATTTTCCCACTGCTATCCCCTTATCTGGCATTCTAAGTGTGTAAAAACAGAGATGTATGTGACTATATGCTACTGCGCAAAAAAAAACCCAGATGTATCCAACATAGTTTTTGTATGCGCTGCAATGTTCATGCTATTCTCCTCCGTTTCTTATTCAATAGAAATGTTCGTTTGCATTTGAAAGTCATAAGACTGTAACATTCCTATTCATGACAAACTCTAAACAAAAACATTAGAACAGAGAGAAAGATTCCAATGAAAAAAAAAAGATAACTTGTTCATAAAGATAATAACAATTTTTAAATGTTATTTTATTTTTTTTTAGATTGATTTGTGTCTGTAGACGGTATATGTGTGGTAATTCTAGTGTGTTTCTTTATTGTATATATTTAAAATAAATCTAGATGCATTAAAGTAGTCTATAACTGGCGATCATTTATTTGAAATTAACACAACAATCAAAGAACAAGACGCGCTTAATATGGTTATGATCTAAAAGGAAGAACGACAAAGATTTGATTATATAAATAGGAAAAATGACCCAAACAACAAAATCCATGATATTCAACCTCAAACAGGACAAATTCGATGATGAGCGGTATCATAATAATAGAAACATCACTCATGAACATAATGTCTATACATATATCGAATATAATCCATGTTATCCTCGCATGTAAGGACAATTTCACCACATAAAGAACAAGCAGTAGGGCTTGTCATTGGAATCTAGAATAAAGAAAAAGAATTATGAGAAAAAAAAGTCATCTTCTTCGTGATGTCAATTTTTTAAGACACGTCTTATGAAAAATATATTGTTGGATCGAAGCCAAAAAAAAAGCATATGTCTTGAATACCATTGATCTTATGCAGAACACCAAAGAAGGAATTGATAAAGTATGGTAAATTTGAAAATGTAAATTATATCACATATGAATCTTGGAATATTGGAACATCCATACATCATAAAAACGAACTTTGTTCGTCGTTTGTTCTGTTGAGAAATTAAATTGGTAGAGGAGACTTCGATCTATTTGTTGGTGAAACAATCACCAATCACCAACGAACCGATCAGCCAAAACTTTGTTTTTGATCAGCAATGGCAAACTTGCTGGGATTCTACATTTACCCCACAAGGGTAAGCGGATTTATCGAATTGGACGCCGTAGGTTAATCCAAAAGTCGAAAACTAGCTTCTAGCAAATCAGGTGCCAATAGCTCTGTAGGCAAGCTTTAGAAAAGCGGTTTTCATCAATCGATAGAGCATGTGCTGAGGCACATAACTTGCGCAGAAAGTTTTTCAAAATAACTAATAGTAAAAAAGTTAGAGCTGTTTTGATGAGACTCACTGATTTTTTGTATGCAAACACCCCTCCATACTCTACTTCAAATCTTGTTCATCAGAGACAGTTTTATCTTCTTTTCTCATTACATACTAACTCGTCTTTTCACGAAAATATCTACTAAGTAGTCAATAAATATAGACAGCTTATCTTTGTGTCAATCAATTTATAAACATGTAAGACGATAAAGGTATCGGGGATGTTCAAAAATATCGCTTTAGTCTCTTCTCTTTTTTTTTCAAATGATCAAAGAACAATTTTCGACGTCATTTTGAATGTCTTTCTAAGATAGAAAATGCATTTCAAGAAAATTTAGAATCAATTTTATAAAGCATTTAATAAAAGGACTCTATGGATATTTTGATTCATTGTTAAATGGAAAAGGTTATACATAATAAGAATAAATGAAAGAAACATAATATGACACACAATAGACAAAATTGGCGCGGAGCGGTGAAAGAGAACGATAAGAATATACTACGAGACGGACGTCTATCGTGACCTAATGAACTCATTTAAACAACATAATGGGACGACAGAACAAAAAAAAGAAATATATTTATCGGTCAAACCAGATACGATCGAAAAATTTTTCATTCAAATGAGAGCTATTAAAATCTGAAAAAAATTCTCTTGTTGTCGCCAGTGAAACAATGGAATGTTCGTTGATAAGAGAAAACTGTTCCAAAAAAACACGAAATTATGCATAAAATATGTACAATGGTTCCTTTCTATTATTCTCAAGTTTCAATTACATGAGAATTTTGTCACAATAAAATAACATGACCCTATCTCGCTGGTTGTTATTTTATTATCGATTACTTGAAGATGTTAAGAAGGTAGCAGTATTATTGCAAGACAACTCTTAATCAATTAAAAACTTTCTCTTCACAGACGCAACGACCTGGCGTTGTGCGGGCGTTGATATATCATACGTAAATAATAAGGACGCTCTCTGTGTACAGAGAAAAGTTACAGATATTATGAATCAGTCATTCGGACGCTATCTGTATATAGAGAAAGTTGACAATCAATTTTAAATACAAGATTTAGTGAAATCGAGCGGCCGGACATTGTCAACCTGCTCATAGCATAATAAAGGCACCGTAGTGACAAAATAAGATCCGATCGCCCAACAGTAATTAAAATTAATGTTGAGGAGAGACATATCACAGGGAATATATAGACCTCGAGTTCTTATTGGTCAGTTATCTCACTCTCTGTTTTTGATTGGTCAATTTTATGGTCCTCGCTTTTGATTGGTCGGTTTTATGACCCTCGGTTTCTCATTGGTCAGTTTTGTGATCCTCGGTTTCTCATTGGTCAATTTTGTGATCCTCGGTTTCTCATTGGTCAATTTTATGGTCAACGGTTTCTGATTGGTTAATTTTTATGACCCTCGGTTTTTGATTTGTCGATTTTATTACGTTTAGTACGTCACTGGTCACAATAGTCAATAGAGCTGTTTATGTAACGATTTTTAAAACTTGACCTTTGACCTTTGACCCTGCCACAGACAAACAGACAAACTATTTTTTTTTGTATGACCCTCCTTTCAGTCGAGGGAACTATACGCGAAACAAAAATAAGTTTAATGATGATGAATGTAAAGCTCATCATTAACTTCAAACGATTATTTCTTTTATGGATTAGCGAGTTGAAAAATTTCATTATTATTTAATTCTCGTGAATAAACACGAAATTCATCAATAGATCCATTATAAACATCGGAAATAATTGATTGTGAATTACACGAAATATTTTCAATAGAGTTTCCTAATATTAATGTATTCACTTGTTCTGAACCAATATAATTTAAATTCGAATTTTTCCTATTAATTAATGTTCCATTAACATATAATCGCAATCCATTTATTCTTGAATAAGTATAACCAACATGTGACCAAACATTATTTGGTAAAATAGGACCAATAATTTCTTCTAATGATCCGTTCCAAATTGTTCCAATGATATTTCCATTAGAAGAAAATCCAAGTAAATAGATACACCAATCTTGTCCAGTCATTTTTGTTGTTTGTTGAAGAAGAATTGATCCTTGAATTGATTCTGGATAAATCCATAGAGTAATAGAATATGATTTATTAGAAACTCCAAGAAGAATAAATCCATCAATCTATATGTAGAAAAAGAAGTTTTTCAAATCTATAAAATAATAAAATCTTTTATTTGACTTGATAAAAAGATAAATTTGATTGAAAATGAATCGCTTTATTCATTCGTCCATTGACAAATGTTACATTTGTATATTTTCCTTTGAGATGAAGTGAACTTGAATCATAATATGATTGATAATCAAATGAATGATTTGTAACTAATGTTGCATCATCTAAGATTTCACTAGCACTTTTTACTTTCATCTTTAATGATACTTCATCAATGACACTACAAAAAATAGAATTTTATCTTTAAACGAAACTCAATTTTATCTTACCCAGAAAAATTTTTGGGTGAAACACAGCATGATTCAGCTTTTCCAATAATAATTGCACCTGATGTACCTTTATAAGGTCCAGACGATATTGTATTGCAAATAAGTATTCCATTCAAGTAAATTGATTGTTTTAATAATGAATAATCATATACAAAAGCAACATGATACCAAGTACTTAACTGAATCATAGTTGAACCTCGAAGATCATCATCATAAAAACCCATGAAAAGTGAAAAATTTCGAATTATATAATGCAATGTATGATCTTTAAATTGAATATGACTTTGCACAAAAAATCCATAATCATCATCCATTGATAAACAAGTACAATAGAACCACATTTCTACTGTAAAACTTCTATAAGACAAATCTCTATACTTTGATATTTTAACATATTGTTCATTTGTTGAATTAAATAATAAAGCGGAACCATAACCATTTATTCCAGGAGTTTGATATATCGGTGAATTAAGTGATATACCATTAAAATCTGCTAAACTATCATCTGTATTATTATCAAATGACCAAAAACTACCGAGATCAGATGTTAAATCTATAATTTATAATACATTCTTAATAACAATCAATTGAAAATTCTCGATACATACATTGTTCTGTACTTGTTATAATGTTTAAATTCGATGTTGTTTCTTGATTTGTTATTGCAGTTGAAGTACATGTAGGAAAAGATGCTAAAAATTATATTTTTGTTTTTGTAAGAAATGAAAAAGATACGTTACGATTATTCTTTTTACTACAAATAACAGTTGCAGAAATATTTTCTGAGGATTTTATTGAATCTTTCTGACAAATTTCTGCATACATTGAACAAATATTTTCATCTTTGAAATAAACTGCTGTTTGACAATGATAATCATTATTATTACATAATCGAATACAATCATTAATTGATGATGGATTTGATAATGTTTGATTATTAAGAAATGAACAAGAAATATTCGATTGATAAATTGTTTTTCGATGAAGTTCAACGATTATAAGAGAATTTATCAAAGGAAAAAATGAAAATCCAATACATTGTTTATGTTCATAAAATGAATTATCATCTCAATTTAAATCATCATTAGAAATAGAAAATGTATGGCATCATATTTATTTTACTTCCGTAGAAAAATCAACATTAATTTTTTTTTTTTCATTGAATAAATATATTGACAATTTAACACAAATCATTGTCAGAAAAAGTAATTTTTTTTGTCTAAAATTCAAAAAAAGTACATAAAAGAATTCAATAATAATAATAATAATCAGAGGAGAATGTGATATGATCAATGCAGATCACTTTTTGAGTACATTACAACGAACAAGAGATGAAGAAAAAACAATAAAAATCTCTATTATGAATGACAAAGCATGTTTACGAGCATGATAATCAGTAGAGGATGCATAATGACCAAGATGAACCATGGCAGATGTATGAAGACCAAGACTATATACAGGTCCACGATAAATAGGAGCGAAATAAATAACATCACGAACATGACAATTAGAACAAAGATTATGTGATGAAGATAATTGAGTTGTGAGGGTGTCTAAATGTAACATGTCTTGACAAATTCAAATCAATACGACAAAATATTATCAAAATTTACTCTGAGACTCAAATCCTTTATTTGTGAGATCTCATTTCAAGTTATTTTTCGTCAATTTCAATACAGTTGTATGTTTAACAAAAAGTACGACATTGAAGTGACAGAAATCTTACCTTTCATATTGTTATTGATGTTTCCCCTAAAAACAACATAAAACAATAAAGTATATTATGGTACAGTAAAACCTCTCTTATATGAACACCAACGGGACCAATCGAAAGCGTTCACATTAGTAGGATGATCATTTAGGAGGGGGATTGTATAAATAGAAAGAAACTTCGCTTTGTTTTAAATAAATTCTTTTGTATTTGAGAGTCATCACCTGTGAGTTTTGCTTTCATAATCACTTATAAATTCGTACTTTCTTTTGAGCACATTAGATACTGCACCGAGTAATAACTTAAAGCGATCACTGAATTCACGATGTGATAAATCATTATCTTTTAGTGTAAGATTATGACGACGAGGTATTTTCAATTGTTTATAATTGATGATTCAACAGATTATCTATAGAGAAAATTCATTTTCTTTATTTTCTCTCTTTTTTCCTTTTAGACGTCAGATTGAACTAGTTATATACGAGATAATGATTATTGATAGGTGGCGTCAGATACAAATGTTCATATTGCCGAGATCGATATACACGGTAGGGACTGAAAAAATACGTTCACTTTCAGAATCACAAGGTGATCATATAGGAGGAGGTCAAAACTCACTCGGTGGGACCGAAGAGTGTTCAGTAAGACAGGTTGATCATATTGGAGGGGTGTTCAGTAATAGAGGTTTCACTGTAATACATTTCGGATAGAATCAAACAATGTATAAAAAATAATAGATGTGTGTTTTTTCTGTTTCTTATCGAAAAGAAACAAAAATATGAAATTAACTCTTAAGCAATTTTATGTTCATGAATATCATCATTTTCTTCTCAATATTTATTGATGTATTTAATTTGTGAATTCTATAATGTACACAACTCAAATTATCAGCGCTAAGATTGAAAGTAAACACGTAACAACGCAATATTTTATAGAAAATATTGGAGGAATAAATGTAAATCAGTCATTTTTAACGGTTAAATAATAACATCGTAATAAAGATTGAATAAATTGGTTTAAAATAGAAGTAAACGGATGAATAATAATCTCTTTCTCGTCGATTTATACCTTATAACATAGAAAGAACGTCATTTATTATTCATAAAATTATTCAAACTGCGTCAATCTAAGTATAATTTATTCTCCTCTCTGTCAAAAAACAGTACGATTACGGCAAAACCATTACTTTCTTCCTTTTTTATTTAAACGAACACAAACTATATAAAACAAAGTTCTATATACTCAATATTACTAATTTTGTTTATATGCAAAATGATTACTCCAATGATTTTCATACTGTTTATTATCTCCTTCACTTTATACAAGAGAAATGAAGCATCTGTCATCTGTGATAATAGCATTTTCATCGAGTTATGTAACGGACGTTGTTACGATACACGAAAACAAAAATGTCTTCAAGGAACTCTTTGTGATAATAGCATTTTTGTTGAGCTATGCAATGGTCAATGTTACAATACACGAACTCAAAAATGTTTAAATGGTAAAGCACTATGATGAATGTTTTTTATGTAAAAATTAATGAATACTACTTTCTATCCACACTGTTATTATAAAATAAACCAGGAAAAATCTAACCGTAAAGATGATCAACTGTGAAAATACTATGAATAAGAATCTAACGTAAGGTTTATTCACTGGTAGACACTAGTCATATGTATGCTTTCCAAAAATGTATAAATAAAGTGAAAAGATAAAATGTGAGAAATTTAATTTGTAGAATATGTTCAAATTTCTTGTTTTTCTTGCCATTTTAACTGAATTTTCGATTGTTTATGTTAAAATATAAAGAATTCAACACATGTACGATTGGTAACCGTTTGAATCAAATAATTTAATTCTTTCATTCTACATATGTTTACTTTTATTTCTTCATTATTTCTGATGAAAACAAAATAAAGTTATCGATTTTCATCATGACTTGTATTCTGACAAAATCAGTTTCAGTATATTTTTTCGTCTAACATTTTCGAAATAAAGTGAAACCTGTTTGAATGTTTTTGTGAACAATTTTAGCATAGAAGACATAACATCGTAAATCGGCTCATTTCAAAATCAGCTTGGCAAATACTAAAAACGGTGTAGAAAGATTCACCGTCTCATTCTACATCGTTTTTGGTATTTACCAAGTTGATTTTGAAATGGGCCGATTTACGATCTTATACACTCCCATCCTTTCTTACCATGTCTTTCACGCCAACGTCTCTGCACAACAACTCTATCATTCTTCGATCACCAACTATCAGAAATATTTATTGGCAAATGTCAAGCATGTGTATTGACAAAAATACAGTGGACATTCGCCAATGGTGAAAGTCTTATTCGCGAACTTCCGATAATCCAAATATTCAAGAATATTAATCGTTTCTACACGTAGAATTACTAGCAAACTATCGACGGATAATTAATAATCTTTTTTTTTGATGTTTCAAAATTCTTATATATTTTTAAAAGAATGTGATCAATAAATTCTGTATTGCTTTATGCGACGTCTCACTCATACTTATTTTCAATTTATCAAGTGGTAAAAGTTTTGCGTTCTTTACAGTGTTGTTAACAGAGACCGTCTTTGTGTATACATTTGCTTTCATCAATGGTAAGAATAAGTTGGAAAAAATAAAATAATACTGGTTTTTTTAAAAGAAGTTACGAGCACATATTTATGTTCATAGTTTGTTTTTAGTATTAATGATTGAATACTTCATCTTTTGGCTTGCAAATCGTTTATCTACATGGAAAAATGGAAATAATAATAACTTTTAAACAAAACTGTTTTCTTTTACTTTAGAGAACTGTATGGATACGTCGAACACTGAACAACTTCATATAGGAAGAATACCATCTACTAGCACAGTAGTATTATCTCCTGATGAGAACTTTGAAGAATTCACATTGATCTGGCTAGACAGTGATGTAAATAAGACAACTGATTGTATTGATACGAAAGATAAATTAAAGCAATTAATACATTTTGTGCTAACATTTGATAATACTGGTACATGTTTAGAATATATGCGTTCTATTCATACAGAAAAGATTCTCTTTATTGTTTCTGGAAAGTTAGGAAAAGTGATTTTAGTAGATATACAAGATCTACATCAAATATTATTTATTTATATCTTTTGTGAAAATAAAATGGAACATGAAAATTGGTCAAAGAACTATCCAAATAAATTACAAGGTGTATTTACAGATAAAGATGATTTATTATCAAAATTAATTGTTGATTTAAAGATAATTTCGATGAATTCAATGCCATTTAGTGTATTTGACTTGACAACGAATGAAAGTACTATACAGGATTTAAACAATGAGAAAGTAACATTTCTATGGTTTCATCTCCTAATAGAAGCTTTATTACAAATTAAATATGATAATATAAATGCTAAAAACGAAATGGTTCGTGAATGTTGTCTGTATTACAAAAATAATAAACTTGAGAAAGAGAGAATATATGAATTCAATAGTACATATATTAGGAACTCAGCAACAAGATGGTATACACGTGATTGCTTCTTATATCGTTTAATTAACAAAGCATTACGTACGCAAAATATCGATATTATTTTTAAATTTCGTTTCTTTATCAAAGATTTATACATTCAATTGAAAACTGAATATGCATTACAGTTTAATAATGGTGAAATACATTCATTTAGTGTGTATCGGGGTCAATTAATGCCACTTTATGAAATAGAAAAATTACAAAAAAATATTGGTGGATATTGTTCTATTAATACATTTTTATCAACTACAACTTCAAGTATAGTAGCTGCTAGTTTTGCTGGAAGTGGAGGTGGACGTCCTGTATTGGAATCTGTTCTTTTCGAGATAAATATCGACATAAATAATGCTAATAGCAATAACAGTTTAACACCATTTGCAAATATTGCAGAAGTGAGTCATATCAGTGATGAAAAGGAAATACTATTTTCAATTGGCACTGTCTTTAAAATTGAGAATGTTGAACAACTTTCAGATGTCATTTGGAATGTTGAATTAGTTTTAAGTGAGCAAATCGATAAAAATATTCAGAAATTAATTGAATTTTATAAACAGAAATTACATGAAAATAATACAGAAGCATCGATATCTGATTTAGCATGGTTTTTAGTTGAAATGGGTGATTATAACAAAGCAGAAAAATATTACCAGCTTTTACTCGAAGAATTCCCGAAGAATAATAATTTTTCAGATGAAAATCAACAGATTGAGATAGGACGTCTCCATATCGCTATTGGACAAATCTATTATGAAAAAGGTAATTATGATCAAGCAATGAGAAAATATGAACTGGCTTTAGCAATAGTTTCACCATATTGTGTATCGACAACAGCAAGTATTTATAATAATATGGGTCTTATATATAGAACACGAGATGATGATGAAATGGCATTGAAAATCTATGAAAAAGCTTTGGAACTTTGTTCTACTTTACCAGAAACATTTACACTTGCTATGATTTACAATAACATTGCAGCTATATACCAGAAAAACAAGACTTACGAAATTACTCTTGAATATTATCAAAAATCACTTGCGATTAAAAAGAAATTATGTCCACCTAATCATCCGTATTTAATAACAATATATAATAATATTGGAACACTATGTTTTGAGACAGGCGAATATGATATGGCATTAGAATACTTTAACAATGTCTTAAATATGGGTTTATCCGTATTACCTGCGTTACATATTGGTCTTGCTTCTAGCTACAATAACATTGCAACTGTCTATGATGAGAAGAGTCAGTATTCGAATGCACTCATTTATTACTACAAAGCTCTTGATATTTATTTGGCTAATTCTGTATCGAATCATCAAGATCTCTCTTCCGTATATACGAACATCGCTTTAAATGAAAAATATACTGGCAACTATTTAGATGCAATCGCACATTATCAGTTGGCGCTTGACATTGAACTGAACTATTCCAATAAAAATGCTCTAACTATTTCTGACTTATATCAACTGATGGGAGACTTATACGAAAAAATTAACAAATCACATGAAGCAGTCGCACATTATGAGAAATCGTTAGTATACCGTAGTCAATCGTCAGTCTCTAGCAGTGATCAAGAATGGTTTATACATATGCACAACATTATAGGCAATTCCTATAAATTACAAAGAAAATATACTAACGCCTTAGAACATTATATAAAAACAAAGACATTAATGTTACAAGTCAATATATTAAATAATATTGATTTCGCTGCGATCTGTCATAATATAGCAAATACCTCGCTAGAGAACGATGGTAACATTGAAAATGCTTTAAAAATTTATGATGATGCAGTCGATTATTTAAACTATATTCAAGAATTCACAAGAGAACACTTTCCGATTGTTGTCACAATATATTACAATATAGCAAAATTGTATTTCGAGAAAAAGAATATTGATATAGCTCTTATCTACTACCAAAAAGTTCTTGAATTGAGATGTTCATATATGATAGAGAATGATCCATCCATTGGAACTACGTTCAATAATATCGGTATGTGCTATATACAAAAAGGAGATTTAAATCAAGCAATATTTAATTTCAAACATGCATTAGAAATTTATTTATCAAATGGTGATTCAGAACAATTAAATGTAGCTTTATGCTACAATAACATAGCAATAGTTTTCATAAATCATGGAAAGTACATCGAAGCAATCGAAGTTATGAATCGTTCAATTGAGATCAAGAAAACAGCGTATAGAAATAATCTGGTAACCTCTGAGTATTTGGCTTCGGCTTATAAATTTCTAGCAACTATTTACGAACAAAATAGAAACTATCTTTATGCATACTTAAACTACATAGAATCTCTGAAAAAATTACTGACATCTGATAATTGCTCTATGATAATAGAAATACATAGATCAATCGGACGGATAAATATGCAAGCTAAACGTTATACTGAAGCAATTAATCATTATGAAAAAGCCCTTGAAAGATCGTCCAATCTGGATGAGTTAATCATTTCGACAATTTATAATGATATAGGTTCAGTATATTGCAGTATGAAAAATATGAAAATGGCATTAAGATATTATAATATGTCGCTCAATATTCAATTGAAAAAGTTTTCCACATATAATGTATCAATTGCAAATACTTTTAATTTGTTAGGAGAAGCATATTCTCTGCTTAATGACTTTACTGAAGCGATTATTTATCATGCAAAAGCAATTAAAATTATCTTATCTACTTCTATTTCTAATGACAGCTTTTGTTGTACAGAATTAATAACCGCTTACAATAGACTTGCATGCATTTATTGTCAACAGCGCTCTTATCAAGAAGCTCTATTATACCTTGCTTTAACTCTTGAAACTCAGTTTAAATATCAAGAATTAAATGCTATGGATGATGAAATTACTAATAGAATAGCTACGACATTCACCAGTATAGCATCCCTCTACTGTCTACAAACCAAGTATAATGAGGCTTTATTATATTATGAAAAAGCATTATGTTATGGATTAATTCAATTATTTAAATTTGGTGATAATAAACGCTCTTTATTGAGTAAGCTTGTGCGTATATTAGACAATATTGCATATGTGTGGTATAAAAAAGATGATCGTTCACGAGCATTGTCGTATTTACAAGCTGCCATTCAAATCTTATTCAGCTCAACATGTCCAGAAGATCAAAATTTTGTTATAGAATTAAGAAATAAAATTGAAATAATTAACAAACAGTTGTGGATTCTAGGTGACTAACATATATTGAAAACTCTATCATTATAAAATACTGATCTTAACGAATTTCAATCGGCAGAAATGTTTTGAGAGTGAGGGTGAGGGTTATAGGTCAATGAGAATATTTTTAAAAAATTACATTGACATTTCTCAATATACTTGTCTATCCTATCTGCGCTCCGTTTTTTTTGTGATTATTTTTACTTTCTTTTTTTATAATATGAGATTAATCGATTAAGAAAATAGATGCAATTACAAATTTCAGATTTGTTCTCTGTATCAAATCTGAAAAAAAATGAAATAATCTATTATATATTGATACCTTGCTGGAGCGAGCATTAATAACAGAAAGGTCATGTGCTCACATCGTTACCTACATTCATCCTCCAATTGAAAAGAATTTTATATACAAAAGATGGCCTGCACATGGATTCCTGTACATTCCGGAGCTGGAAAGACTCATCCATAGCCTGTTTTAGAGCCCATCGTCGTAGATCAATATCATGCACTGGCAGAGCTTTCTGTCGAGCCCGCTGGAACATATCGAACACATAATCATCAATTTTGTCAAGCTTGTATTTCTTAGTGCCACGTTTTTCAAGATAACGGCGAAAGCGCGAGAGATAGATTTGATGTGGGATACGTCGGAACTTGTGCTTCGCGGTCTCCCCTCGTCTCTTTCTTTTTCCAGTTTGTAGATTTTAATTTCGTCACAGAATTCGACTGCCTTGGTCATGCAATCGAGTGAAAATCGTTTACACAACGCCTTCTCTTCATTCTCATCGTTCCAGTTGGGATCCAACGCTTTTTCAGTAGCATCTTCGCACTCGACTTCATCAATCGATTTCAGCACACTGCACAACAGATTGGCTGCTCCATATTCACGATGTGTGACAGTAATGGCGGAGGTCGCGCTATTTGATACAGTAGACGATAAGTTCGATGCTCGATCAGCAAAAATCTTCACAACGTTTGCGGGATTAATCATTTTGAAATTTATGTAAAGAAACCGGTATCGGATGCTTGCTGGTATGTCAATTGTATGTCGTAAACAACCGAATGAAGAGAGAATCAACCTCGTGGCATGATGCCGATATAAAAACAAAGAGCACGAGGAAAAAGAAAGTAGAGAAACGTAAACGACGAACACGTGGAGTTATCGGTTAGACATGTTGTTATGCCAGCGAGAAAGATGAAAAGACAATCGCTAATGTATTTTTAGCTATCAATAGCTTTTCACAGTGCATAATGAAATTAGACGTGGAATGAAGAGTTATAGGGCGTCTGTAGCCCGATAAACAGCCTACAGAAGTGCTGTTGATAAGATATGATCTAGCACTAAATCCAGAATAGATTGGACGACTGATGCGTGAAGCTTTGAAATACTTTCACTTGAATACTGTACTACTGTTTGAAAACGATCATTTTTCAATTCAGTCTCTTTTGTGTGTATCTTGAGAATTCGATATCTCGGCAACAAAAGGTGCAAGGACACAAATCCTCTTGAGATTTTTCATACCTCATTGAGGTCTACTTATCGCCGAACGATGTGACCTAAAGACCTTAAACACCTAGGGAACCTTCCTCATCAGTCATCTGCACTATGTTTCACAGACACGATCGCGTCCTATTGATACGTTTTCCCCTATCAAATGAGCCTTTCTGTTGCCTGTGTTGCACATCGAGTTATCAAGTAAACAAAAACACTATATACCTATTTTTTATGTAAATGAATCGAAGCGACAGCGATGATATAGAAAGGTGAATAGAAGAGAGAAAATAGCTGAGGTTCAGTTTTGGAGATTAGGACTTTTTGAATAGGAATCCCATAGTTGATTGACGCTTTTCTTCGTTATTTGATTCCATATTTGGCCGTTGTTATACTTATTTTGTCGTAGAGCCCGATCTAGCTGATTGACGATATCCTTGTTAACTCGCTGTTCCAACCAAACAAGGAATCGAGCGGTCACTCTATAGGAGTCTGTGTAACGCTGGCGGGACTGAAAGGAAGGTAACTGCCAATTTCCACCAGCATTATCTACCCCATATTTCCATCGTACGTAATCAGCAATACCCTCAACAAGCCAGCCAGGCTGATTACCGGGATACTGTTGAACGATGTGCATCAATTCATGGGTAACCAAATCCGTATCCTTTTGATGACTGGCCAAATAGCGCCCACAAATGACAATTCGATCGTTATCTAAATAATAAACAAACTCTATGAACTTTTGCTCCTGTCGTATCTATACGTCCAATAAAGAACAAGTAACGCTCATCCGTTGGATTCGCTGACCCTTTTCTGAAAGACTTTTCCGAATGCTGAACACATTCAGAGACTTCGAAAGAGAAAAAACGCACTGCGATTGCTACTAGTGCTCAAC